TGATGATATGTTAATCATATGATGATATGTTAATCATATGATGATATCTGAACCAATCTTATCAAACCAGTTTTTTTTTTTTTTCAAATGTCATGCTTATTTGAAAAAAAAAAAAGAAGCTTTTTAGTTTGCTTATAATTATAGTTTCCTCAAATGATTGGGGAGGACGCTAAAGAATAATCTACGGTGGTCAGAGCCACCATTGGCCACCCCCGTAGCTCTGCCACTGCACCTGGTGGTGAATAAAATCTGTGCTGCCTCAGACAAATAAAACAACAATCCTGCCTCTCTTCTTACACAGTGCAACTCCTACCCACTTGAATATCTTGCGCCAAGACCATTAAGGTTTACTTGTATTCCCAGTTCAACTCCAAACACTCATCTCCACAACTACAAAACATTCATCACCTTTGATCCTGTAACACGGTTTGATGGAGGGTTTGCTCAGGCACTTCCTGGTTACTTTGAGTTCTTCGGCTCACTAGAAGCTGAGATGTTTTCCTTCGTAATGGCACCATCAGTTCGAACGAATCTCGTATCAAAGCAGAAGTCTGGTCGTGTTCTTTCAATCAGAGATACATATTCCCTCTTTGTAACACGTGTTGGTTTCATGTTGTGTGTAGCTCCTGTTCAAGTACGATCTGGTGAAGTACGACATGGTGAAGGATGAACCGGTGAAAGACCAGAATGGTTTCTGTCAGCGAGTAGAGAGGGGTAAACATTTGAATCGTTTTTATAAACTTCACCTAAAAGATTTTTGTACTCGACTGACTTTTATTTGTATTGCCACACCCCGGTTGCTCTTTTCAGGAGAGACGGGTCTTTTGCTGTCCAAGGTGTGCGCTGTCAGCCCCTTCTTCGGCTACGCTGGAAGCAAACAGCTGACTGAGAAGAAGCTGATGAAAGATGTTTTTGTGAAGGGAGATGCCTACTTTAACACAGGGGACCTCATGGTGGAGGATCACGAGGGCTTCATCTGCTTCAGAGACAGAGTGGGAGACACGTTCAGGTACGCTTTGAGAAGGTGTTTGAAGACGCAAAGACTCTTCAGAGCATCCGTATCTCTGCAGCAGACCATGTTTTTGTCTTTCTTTTTGAATATATGCTCTGTTTTATGTTTGGCTCTTACATATGGCTTCAAGCTGAAAACGGTTTAATGGCCATAACGTGGTTTTACAAGCGTTAAGCTGCTTTCTCCTGTGTTGCATCACCTGTTCATTAACAGCAGTTTTAAGCAACAAAGAGCAAAAAAAAAAAAAAATCAGTTCTGTGGGTTTTAAGGTAATTTTAACCCTTAGAAGAACTTATGGAAGAATGTCAGCCACACATTGTTTCAGTTTTTTTTTTTTTTATGCAGTCAAGCATGATTTTATAAAATGTATTAATTTATTTTTACAGAACTTAAAAAAAAAAATCAACCATTACTACAGGTCCTTCTCAAAAAATTAGCATATTGTGATAAAGGTCATTATTTTCCATAATGTAATGATAAAAATGAAACTTTCATATATTTCAGATTCATTGCACACCAACTGAAATATTTCAGGTCTTTAATTGTTTTAATACTGATGATTATGTCATACAGCTCATGAAAACCCAAAATGCCCGTCCCAAAAAATTAGCATATCATGAACAGGTTCTCTAAACAAGCTATTAACCTAACCATCTGAATCAACGACGTAACTCTAAACACCTGCAAAAGATTCCTGAGGCTTTTAAAAACTACTACTACTACTACTACTACTACTACTACTACTACTACTACTACTAC